TTTGACGGAATCCTAGACTACATGTAAGATATAAATATGTGTGGTAGCAATTTCATGATTCCAAAAGCAAATTAGAGCTATGTTGAAAAGGGTAATCATGCAAGTCATCAACTGATATATTTTAAGTCAGTGCACTGCTAATATTTTTCTTAATTTTCTAAAAGAAGAAAGAATAATTCGTGCTTCATGTTGGAAACTCTAAATAAAACTACAGATTTAAGCTTCAAATGATTTGATATGCAAATTTTGACTTGTATTGTTTGAGGCAAATATTTTATCTTAGTAATTGCAATTAGTGAAATTTAAAAAATTAGTCTTTCTGATTAATTGAAAACAGAATTGCACCTGAAATAATTGGAAAATTTATGCTTTATAGTTAGAAATTTTTAGCAAAGATTCCAGTTACTAATTTACCAATTTTTTTACTATTTTCATCTTTTCAGATTTTCCCATCAAAAAAAAAAAAACAAATTATTTTGATAAAGAAATATGAAAAGGAAAACTTGAGTTATAAATATGAAAACAAAATTGAGTTCATAAATTACGAGATTGAAATCGTAACAACAAAGTTGACAACGATCATCCGAAGCGAATCCTGTGTCCGGATCAATCAGAGGGCAATCACATACCATTAGATGTGAGCTGATACGCGCACACGGATTTTCACAAATATCGTCAACGCAAATTTTTTCCATTCTTAAAAATGGACTTTACTTGAGCTGACATATGGTGTGCAATGCATGGAGTTAAACTCGCTAGTCAAGACAAAACTCTTACAAGTCAAGTTATTTAATTTTTTGTCGACTAATTTCCAAGCACTGAATGACTTCTAAACATTGCACTATTTTATTTTTAATAATTCAATGAAAGACCACTTCACCAAATTCATAGTACTTCGTTAGTATATTTGTCTTTATTATTGTATACAGATGAAAAAAGTTGTTTACGTGTTTAAAAGTCAATTATGATGTGAAAACTGAGAAAACAACTCAGTTATTCACATTAGCTTGGACTTACTGCAGAAAGTCCAAAACGTCATTCTGGAGTTTACCTGTTGTAGATTAATATGCATCAGTTTGTTGATGGCCATGTGAAAAGTTTTGCGAAAAGTAATTATGAATTACAGTTTTGACAAAAATAGCCATAAAATGAATTACCTATCTATTAAATTATTCTAGTAGGTTATTAAAATAACAATAGTTGTTTGTTAAGAAAAATTAAATACTATAGTAACAAACTTTCGATCGCAGTACTGTCCAGGTTTCTTATCGTGGCATACACTATTTGAGCACTTTCCCTGAAGGCACAGTCGCGCGGGGTCGGTGTCATCACATGCCAGACCTTCTAGTTCTGCTCCGCTCTGCCTACAGCGTGCGCAAGCCTCACGTTCCCATCTTTCACCATTGTCTCTAAAAAATTTTGTTTAGTACTCGATCGTAGAGTCAATCACCAACCGATCACATGATTTTTAGAATAATCACGCTATTCTCTACAGAATTTGAAAGCTCTCTGTTTCATATCAAGATCCCTTGCTAATGTTATTATCATTATTTATTTATTCGTTTATTTATTCAATTATTTATTATTACTATACCATTCTAATTATTGTTATTATAATTACATATCACAATTAATTTTCATTATCTTTCACAGCATACCATCAGTACTGCAATTATAAGGCTTGGCTTGAAAGTTTATATAATATTATAGTTTAAAAAATTTTCAATACATTCAAATTGATATGTTAACGAAATTTTTGGTATTTTATCAACAAAAAAATTTAAGGATATTAGGAAAGCTATTGTAATGAGCAAACGACAGCGAGTGAGTACAAAATCGAGACGAATTAAATATTGCAAAAATTATTTAAAAGATGAAATTTTTGTTTGACCGAGACTTCTCAGTGCAGCTGCTCTTATGCTGGGATAATCGAAAATCTTACTTACTTCTTAGCATAATTATCTTTTTAAAAAGTTAATTAAACTATCAGAATGCCGTGGCATTTGAGATTTGAAGTCAACTCAGTGAGTGATCAGTTAATTTGAATTATTTCTTTAATCTTAGACAATTTTTTCTTCTTTCGCATTCATCAGCAGAATCAAATTCTAATAAATGGCAGTATATTTTTTGTGCATTGAGGTTCTGTTTGAAAGGATGAAGAGAAAGCTTTAGTGAAATTCAGTTTCAGTCTTACTTTTAGCTTCAGTTTTAGTGAAATCATTGTGAATAAAACTGAAAATTAAGAAAAAGGTTTTAATATTTCCTAAAGTTATTTTACGCAACAAAATATGCTGAATTAGCATTTTAGAACAAGTATAGGCTGGACAATTATTGGAAATGAGTTTTGGGGAATATTGATTGTAACTAAAATACTGAATATTTATTCGAATTTTACATAAACAATAATTATCAAAGTTTGGTGTTAGTAAAGGTCAGTTAATGAGGTGTGAAAATTATAACATTAAAATGACATTTAATTGGTAGTGCTCAGTGAAGAGTGAACAATTTCACGCAGTATTAAGATTGAGAGATTGTTAAAAAGTTGAGACCAACCTGAGGATATTGTACTGGTGTGCTGGCAAGCACCGGGAATGTGAATTGCCACAACACAGATAACAGTAGTTGTCCTCTTCAAGATCACATTCGCAAGGTTTCATGCCACGTGTCGAGCACACTGAGACGCAGCTGAAGCATCACTTTAACTTCAGTTTTCGCTACTTTTATTTTACTTAATATTCAACAATTAACTTTAAATTCTGTCGTCTGATCATTTCCAGTGTGATGACTTACTTCAAAGAGCAAACAAACAATTAAAAATTATTCCATTCAGAAATTTTAATTATTATCTCTCATTCTGAATTTGGATTACATAATTAAATATTTGTTCAATATATTACGGATTGTTAAAGTACATAACTAATAATTTTTTATTCTAAAGTCTCAATAATTAATTTCGATATGCAAATTCGTTAAAAGACCAAATGAATAATTTTTATTATAAATGCATAAAATCAGTTAACATAAAAATTAAGAAGGTAAAATTTGCTTTTTTAAGGTTTAAAATTTGTGCTTTTCATCAGGTGTGAGCAAAAGCTGCCTTGCGGTAATAACTCTTTTATACTTTAGATCAAATACCACAACTCTTTTTGATTAGATAAAAAAATGAGCTACAGGAACTTCGTTCACATTTATTTGAAATGTGATTCCAAAGTGATCACGTATTTGCGTGAAAAATTAAGTGGTATTTTTTGTTAATATTTCATTGCTTCTTTTAAAATTGCACTAATATTGTAATATTTTACAGCGCATTTTTGTTTGTGAATGGCTAATTAATTACGAACCAAATAATACAAGGGTTGATATTAAGTAATAAGCATCTTGGAATTGCTTTCTTGAAATTTAGTTCCTCTTTTAGATCGAAAATTATAGTACGATTTGATAATTATCTTTTATAAAATCGAAAATTATTTAATATTTTATTAATAATTATACATAAATATTTTGAAAAATAATCACGCATGATGCACTTTTTCATGTTATCAAAATTCTTGAAAGCTGTCTTCTCATTTTAAAAGCCAATTAAGGATGAATAAGGCTTCAAGAAAACCAGCAAATATTATTATTCAAATGCATTAATTTATTTTTTTATATTTAAAAACGCGCAAAGCTTCTGATTTTTCACGTACTCCAAGAGAAGGAAATGATGCATGTGATGATGCATTGAGAGTAAAAGTTTTTGAAAAAAAGTAATTAGTAGAAAATTGAATAAATAGTAATATGAATAATAAAATATTGATAATTGAATAAATAATTGAGGCTGAATTTTTTAGCAAACAAAATCAAATGGATTTTTTTCTGAAATTCTTTTCAAAGATGTAAATTTTTAAATCTCCTTGTGGAAAAAATTTTTGAACTGCTCATTTTTACTATGTTATACTTATTTTTTTAACTTTAATCCTTAGTCTATAAAACAGATATTGCTTATAAAGTTTTAACATTTATTCCTGTAATCAGTTTAAAGTATAGGAAAAATAATTTGAATATTGTAAAAGCTATTGGTCTGAATTTTGTAAAATGAAATGCATTTAACGCTTTATCAAAATTATGAAGTAAAACTAATCATAGAAATAGTAAATGATGATTATAAATACAATAATTTGACTATAAACAAACCTTGAATTTCTACAAATTCTGGCATCACTAGCAGAGCAAACGGAATTTTCAACTATGCATGGAGATGATGCTTGGGTAGACCAGTTGTAATCATGTAATCTGGTTAACAGGAGGATGACCATTAGCGTGAATAGTGAAGAGCTGAAGTAACTTTGAAGCATCAGATGCCACCACGTTCGTATACGTTTTTACCGCATTTGTTTTCCACTTTTCACGTTGAATCTGATGTACGATACAGTCTACAGTGCATTTAAGTTCAAACTAATCTCGTAATGAATTATATTGAGCTCATTGCACTACAATCATAATTTCAGGCTAATTGTTTCTTTACCTAAAAAAGGTTTATTTTTTAAAATATTATCAGATAATTACTTCAGTGTCGATTAATTCACGAAACTAAAACTTTGAGAGGAAAAGATTTATCAAAGTGGCAAAAAAGAACTGAAGTAAAAAAGGAGAATTCAAATCTCTGGGGTGAAATCTTTTTAAGCTATTATTTGGTTGCTTCAAAAGTAATGAGCAACAAAAAATGATCTTAACAGCTATAATAAAAAACCATTCAAGAAATAATTATAATAATTAAAAGAATTAATCATTGAATAATACTTTGTTCAATTTTTAGCGGTTTGAGTGAAAATTTTCTAGCAAAACACTTTAGCAAAGCAAACTTTGTTACTAATCTGAGCGGAAAGTCTACAATCTTCTTTACTTTTCAAGGTGAAAAATTCACAGCAATTTTAAGTAAATGTGAAATTTGAGATTTTTATGCAATGCTTTATACGTATGCAACGCATTGCATAGGTATTTATTTGCGTGTGTGCTATTTGAAATACACAAAATTAAAAATATGAAAAGTAATACCTTTGAAAATTACACTTCACAAGCATTGAAGTATATTCAAGTAAAGTGTAGTTGCATATCATTTCAAAAGGTAAACAAATAAGCGTTAGATGCAGCGTTGAATAGCTTTAATTTCATTTATTTTCAATTATTTTATCGTTGTTTTAGCTAGCAAATCATTTAACTACACGTCAGTTACAGCAGTTATTTTGCACACAAAATATTGAATAAATTTGGAAAATAAGAAATAAATTAAATATGAATTAAATTATTTTGAAAGGAATTGAATTGAATTGAATTGAGTCAAGTGAAAATGGATTAAACAAGTGTGTAATAGACTAATATGAAATGAATTAAAATATGAACCGAGTCAAGAATTTTAATTAAATACTAAGTTATTGAATAGAATAGAATTGGATTAAGACAATGTTTTTTATGCTTTATTTTATGTTAATTTCTTTATTGCCTACAAGTACTCGTCAAGACTACTTCTGGACTAATTTCTTAGCTATTTATTACTCTTAAAAGATGACAAATATAGGAAATATTTATTATGTTCTAAAATTGATTTCTTCTCAAAGTTAATTAAAGATATAACAGAGCAAAATTGTAAAGTTAATTACTTATGATTATAAAGTGAATCGAATTTTAAAATTTCAAACTTGCTGTTGATAAGAAGTCGTTGTAAGCTTATATTAGATTTTTTAGTTTAGTACTGTAAATGATAACTTTGTGAAGATTTAGTTTTACTTACTGACAAATATGACATAGGAATGATGATTAATATTGTAAATGGTAACAAGACTATTATTTGTTTGGTACTTTTGTTGGTACTTTTTGGTACTTGTATATTTTTTATAACACATAAATACAATGCAGTGACTAATATTTATAAAATACTGGTTACTTCTTTGGTTTCCATTCCACTCTGAAAATAATTTGAACTTTAATAGCTTAAAAAAACAAATTTCAGAATTTCAATTGCAGCCTTCTATAGCTAATATGATATTTGATTAAATGATATTTGATATTTCTTGATAAATGATATTTTTTCATGCCATATCGATCAGTTGCCTAGAATTTGACATAAATTATTAAGATATATTCTTTTTTCAAGAAATATGCTTTTATAGCATCGGTTTATTTATTTTTATGCATCATTTTGTTCATAAAACGTATAATTTATTGACCTTTATAAATGAATATCACAAACTTTACTTCAAAAGTACTAATTTATAAGCTCAGTTAAAATTCTGCAAGCTTCAAAATGCATTTATATCATGTCATTCGTGAGAAGAAAGGACAAATAGTGAGTTTTGCAGGTTTTTACTAATTTTTACTACAAAAGATAGAAACGGATTGAAGTTATGACAACATATCAATGCCTGTCATGCTCATTTGATAAATTTCAAACAATCTTTGCATTCCTAAAATTAAGCAATGATAGAGACAGATTTGTGAGCATTAAATATGCAAATTAGGTTATGGACAGACAATCATCACTGTTAATAATTAAAAAGGATGAGTGTAAGATAAAGTGATAATTTTCGCTGATTCAAATTTAAGAATGCAACTTTTTTGTTGCTGAAAATTCTCGCCTTGTGAACAAATTTTCTAGCACTGCTACACTTTTATACTTTGAACAAAAATTTGATTACTGTGATTTTGATAATTTTGACTAATATTAACTAATTAAACCTCTGTAGTACAAGGAAATGTAAGAATTAGATCAATAATTGAAAAGTGTATTATATAATAATATGTTTTGTTGTATATTAAATAGGTAAATTTGCGATTTTTTTGCGTAAAAAAATATAGTAGTAGCAGAAGTCTTGTCTAGAATAGATCAAATAATAGTTTATCATTTCTTTGGGATACTATCAATACTTAATGACAGCTCTAAAAATGAGATAATGATAGTTTATCATTGCAGTCAACAATTATCAGAGTAATCAGCATTGCTAGACTTTCTGATAGTACTACTTGAAATGGTTTTGATTTTCAATTGCAATTTCCAATTATTTAAATTTTTCATTAAATGAATATTATGGACTTTGCTTGGGTTTAAATTTACTCCTCATATAAGCACCAATAATTAATTTCGTAGCTTAAAGTTTTTTTAGTGAATTCAAAATTCAAGTTTTCTCACGATGCTAATACTTGCCGAAATATTTGGAATTTGCCCTCAAACCTGATTGAAACAAACAGTTTATACTTATACTTGCATATAGGCCCAAAATATTAGGATTTCTGGATTTGTCTCTCAAGCAGTACCAACCTGCACATTTTTCTTTGAATAGTAAGACTATAACCAGTGCTATCTGGTTCAGATTTCGTGTGCTTGACTTAAGTACTTAAGATTAGAATACTTATGGAAGAGCTTAAAAATTTTTATTCAGAATTTGGGCTGATAAATACAAAATTAAACAAGAAATTTTAATAGCTTTCAAGAATTGCAGATAAATATCAAAGTTTCAATAAAAATAAAGCAAAATCATTGAAACTAAAAAGGAAAACAACTAAGTCTGAAGGGGATATAAGATAGAAATAATGCGAGTATTTGTTTGCATGAAGAAAGTCTCAAGCTATTTCATAGCATTGCTTGGCTACTTATTACTTGGCCCAGGCCATCTTTTCTCGATCG